TAAGTTAAGGTCTAATTTTAAAGTAGGGAGCAGTTTGCCTTCAGGCTTTAATCGGATTAGACGGTACTATTCAGTCCGTGAAGGCCCATCACAGGTCCTGTTCTAATAATTTAAACCGTTCAATGTGTAGAACTCGTCGAGTACTATATGCCTGTAAAAAATCACGTCGATCAGATATCGATAGTTATTTCATCTTATCAATTTTTTGTCAACAGTTAATTTGTTCACTGTCTATTTTTTTTTATACAAAATTGATTTGATCACATAACTATCGATATCCGATTAACGTAATTTTTCACAAGCATATAGTACTCGATGAGTTCTACACATTGACGATTTAGATTATCAAAACGGAATCCGTAGTGAGCCTCTACAAGCCGAACAGTACCGTTCAGTCTGATTAAGAAGAGTAGGCAAGCTGCCCCCGTTAAAGTAAATGATTAAATTATCACTAAAACAATCAAATTTTTAATATTTTAATGAATTTAATACTCGGTAAGGGTTATCAGATGATGAAAGCAGGTTCAATTATTTATTACAATTTACGAGTACTTTAAATGATCATTTAAAATTTTGTTATGTATATATATATATTTTATTTAGAGTTAATTATAAATACACTCTCTAAAGTTTACTTAAATTATAAATTATTTCATATGGTTCTAGAAATTATATTATGCCTTTTAAAATTTCTAATTTCATAATAAATAGGAATATGTAAGGACTTTTAATGAAATTGGCAAGGAATCATGCCAGAACAGAATTAAACAATTAAAAATTTCATATTTTTAATTAATTCTGTTAAATAAAAAAATTTTTAAAAAAAGATATTTATAGTTTTTTAAATTACAAAAAATAATTTATATTTTCAGTAAAATTCAGAAGATGTATTTATAATTTATCATTTTATTTATATCTTGTGTAGTGCTGTATGTATATGGATGGGTTCATAATCAGTGACGCAGAGGTTGTTCTACAAAGAACAAAACCCCCCATACACCAATCATTGAACAGAAAAAAATTGACAATTTTTGCATTTTTCTGAGGTTTGAACCAACGTAATGAACCGACCATGTGGCACCCCACCACCAGCCGCCCATCTCTTCTGCACTCATATCCTTCCACGTCACAGCTTCATTAAATTTTTTTTTTTTTTTTTTATATTTATATATATATTTTAAAAATTAATTAATTAATTAAACAGATTTCTCTGGAATTTGTAACTTAAAAAGACAGATTTCTCTCTCACATTCTAGAAATTCTAGAAAATATGTTAAATTTGTCCTTAAAAAAATTCTATCAAAATATTATAAATTTATATGAGGATAAAAGACATTTTTAATCCCTAAAGTATGTGTTATTTTTCATTTTAATCCCTAAATTTTAATTTTGTTATTTTAATCCTTAAAATTGTTAATTTGAATTAATTTAATCCTACGTCTAACATTCATCTATATTAATAACGAGAATATAAATAAAATACAGTTTTAATTCACAAACTATGCATTCATTGTCATTTTATTTTAGTCCTTTAAGTTATAATTTTTATCATTTTAGTCTTCAAAATTTTTAGTTTTAGTTAATTTGGTCCCAACTCAAATTGATAATTTTAATGATCAAAATGACAAAATTGAAATTTAAAGAACTGAATTGATAAAGAATACATACTTTAGGGGCCAAACCTATCTTTTTTTCAAAGATAAAATATTTTTCTCGTAATCAATTTAAATGGACAATAGAGATAAGATCCAATTGACTCAAAATGACAACTTTAAAGTTTAAAATGACAAAATTAAAACTTAAAGAACTAAAATGAGAAACAACGCATTTTATCCTACCTAATTATCCCACTCTATCTTCTTGAACCCAGCTTCTTCCCACTTCCCACCATTCACTCACTTCCATGTTCCATACACCATAACCCAACCTCATATTCAATTTTCTACCAACAGTTTGCAAATCTTAATTTTCTTTTCTTTTCCAGTTTGTGAATCGAATTCTGTGCAATTCATGAATCAAAATTTGTTATATTCAATTATTCCCTCTCTACTGTCTTGTTAATGCAATGTCTTCAAAAATCAAATCTGGTTTGCATAATGTATATTTGTATAAACAAATTTATGTATCGAACTTTATTCATGTTCTCTCATTGTTCATTATTCAATTTCAAGAGGGAAATTGAATGGCCTGAGTAGAAGTCTTGTTTGTACAAGCATCCGTTAGAATTTGAATCGCAGGCGTGGTTTTTTTTAATGAACAAAGACCACAATAAATAGAATGACATGAAAAGTATAGAGAGATCCATATTCCACTCCCTCATGAACACTGAATTGGGTTGTTTCTTTTTATGGTTGCAGGAGGAGGCCGAGGAAAATAAACAATGGTGGCAGTGGGCTGTGGCCGCAGACACTCCAAATCAAACTCTCAAACCATCTCTCTCTCTCTCTCTCTCTCACTGAGTTGAGTTTTGTGCATATACAGAGGAAAGTGAGGATGAAAAATAATGATAGAAAAGGGTAAGTTTGACATTTTAAAATATTTACAAGCTAATGTCAGCAAAATTTGTTAGTTTAGTTTTGTAATGCAATTGTAAAATTCAGGAACGGGATTGTGGTTTTCAGAAGGTCAAAGTCACTAAAGGTCAGAGTTACTAATATAATCCAAACAAACCTCTAATCTAAAAATAAATAAATAAATAAATAAATTAGGGCAAGTTTGGCAAATTGGCAATGTTTATCTCAAACTTGTCCAAAGACGGCAAGTATGATATTCTCATCTTCAATTGTTTGTAATGCTTCATTGTCAAAAGATCAATTCGGCAAATTACAAATAAAAAATGCTTTTTGACCCATCAAAATCTAGTTATAAACATTTTAACGTCATCGACATTCAAATCTCAAAAAGGAATAAGGTTCACTTATCTAGCAAATTGAACTTGCAACAAGTCCAAGAAAGTAAGTTCTAAATCCTGATTTACAAGAATACATTAAACATCAATCTCTTCCAAAAATGAGACCATTACCAAAGTTAAACCCTGATAGTGCCTGTCTATCATAGAATAAAAAGCATGTACAAAATCATAAAAAATCTCTGACCAAAACAGGTCAGGGAAATGAGCTAAACTGCCTGCACTTTTTGTATGTGTTCGTGCGCGCGTGTTCACTACTAGCAAAATGGCACAACATAAAAACATAAATTTTCTACCAAAACAAACATGTCCTAGGTTATGTATGTTCACAGAAGCAGGAAGGTTTTCTGAGTCTTCTAGAGGATATACCAGACCGCGCTATCCTACAAAACAGAACGCGCTATCCTATTTGTAGTTAGTGCTGCTGTTTTTTGTAAATGATATATTCAAATCAAACTTCCTATTGAAAGAAATAGAATCAAACAAAAAATGGGCATTTATAACATATTTATCTTATTTTGCATACTGCAACATTTGAAAGGATAATACCTAACTGCAAGATCAATATTTAAAACCTTCACCATATGAAACATTGAACCTTAAATCATTCATACAACAGAAAAGGCTAAACCTTTTGCAGCACGAATCATGCCCAGATTTTCCTGTGGTTGCACAGCATCTTCTAGCGACTATTTTTCCAAATTTAGCTCTACTTACATCTATCATAAATCTTATAAATATATATCTATCATGAATTGGAGTTGTCCCCCAACACAGCTTCATCAAGTGTCAATCTTAATTTTCATTTCCATACTACTACTATCACAAATCATGCCCTCTACAACCCATGTATGATTGAAGCCAACACTACGAAAATTGGTCACACTATCAAAACATTTGAGACATGATTACATTTCAAGATTTCAAAACTTGATCTGATGTAGTTGGGACAAGGGATGAATAAAGGTTGATTGAGATAATTAAAATCTAAAGCTATTAGAGTTTTGATAAGATGAAGTAGTTGGGACAAGGGATGAATAAAGGTTGATTGAAATAATTAAAATCTAAAGCTATTACAGTCCTAGTAAGACAAAACATAAAAGAGATCCATATTGTTTCTAGACAAGTATGTTTCAAAGATTAATTTAAAGAATAATATACTTTGTTTCAATTGATATCTAATTGTAAATAACATTTTTTTTTACATTCACACTAAGAAATATCTTAATAAATTCTCTATACCATAATCTAAAGCATGAGGCACAACATCTTCCCATTCCCATTCCTCATATCAAAACAATCCATGTTCCTGGTAACTTTGGGTCAAGTTGTTCAAAACATGTTTCTAACATTACTTCTCAAATCAACTATTTCCAGTAGCGATGGCAAGATCGTTACCCAGCCTAGGGTGGTATTCTCTTCTCTATCTTGGCAAAGTTACTTTTGACCCACCCAAGCAGATACAAATATTAAAACATCACATCACAGCCAAAAAGAAAAAAAGGACGACTGGGAAGAGAAAGTGATGTAGTTAGTTGGAGGTTGTTCACCACTTCAGAGCCAGAGAAACCAGTGAATCTAGTATCCATCTCAACATTTCCAAATGTCATCACTATATGTAATATACACATATACACCTCAATATAAATATACACACAAACACATAAATGATACATTCAAAGAGAACTTCACGCGCCTGAAGTTACAGAAGCAATGGCAATGAGTTTGGTCTCTGAAAATGCCACATGGAAATGAATTGTGCAAGTGAAGTGGTGAGAGAGATTAGAGAAGTCATCTGACCCTAGAACTCAAGAAGTGGGAAGCTTATATATAGTGTTTGGGTATTATAAACTAACATAACCAGCATAAGGCAGTCATGTCTTCAAATAAAGACCAACTCAACCACAAAATTCAATTTTTAAGTTTTATTCTACTAAAGTTCTAAAGACCCAGAAATCTTCAAGTTCTAAAAGCATTAAAACAAAAACAAAAAATCAAAGATCTGGCAAAACTAAACCATTGAACTAAAACACAAAACTACATTCTGATTCATAATTCAACTGCAACATCAATCACAAATTGTGAACATATATAATAGTCATAACCTCAAAACTGAAATTATATTGAAAATGACTTCAAACATCCTTCAAAATATCCAAAAACACAGATTGAGATTGAAATTAAAAACTAAATTTATATTAAAATAAAAACTTTCTCACATTTTGAGCTCTCTCAATCAGTCCTGAGGAATCTCAACATCGCCATCAGCAATCTCCTGCTGCAAATCCTTAGGGTTCTTCCCATCGACGGTGCATCCAACAGACACGCAAGTCCCAAGGATCTCCTTAACACAGCCGGTAAGTTCCTTCGCCATCGATCTGGGCCTCATGACCTTGGCGATCTCGATAACATCGTCGAGAGAGATGTTTCCAGTGTGCTTGATGTTCTTCGTCTTCTTGCGATCGCGCTCCGGCTCCTTCAGGGCTTTGATGACGAGAGCGGCGGCGGAGGGGACGACGGAGACCTTGGCCTGGCGGTTCTGGACGGTGAGCTTGACGGTGACGCGCAGACCCTTCCAGTCCTTGGCGGTCTCTTTGGCTATGTCTTCGCCGATTTTCTTTGGGGAGAGACCAAGTGGGCCGATTTTGGGAGCGAGTGAACTCGCTGCGCCGACCTCTCCGCCGGTGACTCGGACGTAGACATCGACGACTTGTGATGGATCGAATTTGGGCGGCATCGTTGCAGAGAGAGAGGAGCTAGGGTTTCTGAGATTTGTGTGTGGGAGGGAGAGAAGACAGAGGAGTTTGGGAGGAAAATGAGGGTTATAAAAGCTAGGGTTTAGCAGAGTTTTGAGATGAAATGTCATGTTTGTCCATTAGAGGAGGCTTTTTGGGCTGCCACAAATATTTGGGCTTTAGAATTTAGTCTTTGTTCAAAGCCCTGAGCCCTAGCTTTGTTTAATACACCTATATAGTTTGGGTTTATGAGTCTATTTTGATTTGTTTGGGAAATATTTGATTAATATATTTTTTAAATTTTTACGAAAAAATATGAAATATAAGTTAAGATTGAAATAATGTGATAGAGAGCTGATATGACTTAAATAAGATGATTGTAACTTAAATAAGATAATGTGTTAAAATTGACACATGTCAAACAACCACTTAATTTGTTCATTTTACATATTTATGTGTGTAAATTATTCATAAAAAAAATTAAAATAAAAAGTATAATTTGTCTAATAATCATAGTCACATGATTTTATTTATATTTCTCTTTAAAAATTAGATCGACCTAATTTAAAAATCGATTATATATTTTTTAAAAATAAATATGATAAAATCACGTGACTAATTAATTAATTTAATATTTTTTGATAGACAAATTACACAATGACCTATAAATTATAAAATGAAATGATCATAAAAATTAAAATAAAAAGTATAATTTGTCTAATAATCATAGTCACATGATTTTATTTATATTTCTCTTTAAAAATTAGATCGACCTAATTTAAAAATCGATTATATATTTTTTAAAAATAAATATGATAAAATTACGTGACTAATTAATTAATTTAATATTTTTTGATAGACAAATTACACAGTGACCTATAAATTATAAAATGAAATGATCATAAATCACGTGACTGATCATAGGGCCCATTTTAGGCCAATGGACTGAAACTACACTGATCCAAGCTCAGCTCAAAAGAATAGTTATGACTACTAGACTATTGGGCCAACAATTTTTTGACAATAAAATTGAAAGAAATTACAAGCCTAATAGTTGTTAAATGAATTTACTCGAACTCAATTCGTATTTAATTAATTTGATATTAGTTTTTATATAATTAAATTAAATTTTAATACTTTTTTAAATTGTTAAAATTTTAAATTAAACTTGAACAAATCATGCAGCCTTACCACTCATATGTAGGTTTGGGAGGAATATAATTTATTTATTTTTTAAAAGATTTAAAATGTTGTTGTCCTTTTTAACTACAAACCAAATTGCATTGTAAAAAGATCATCTTAATTTTAAACAAATTGTCCCATCTATTTTCTATTGGTCATAAATGCAAGACGAAAAAATTCCCTTACAAAGTCATGCCTAAACAGGCCCAAAGATATCTGATTGATCTCACTCAACCAAAACCAGCCCGAAACCTAGCCCAATTGTCTAAACTTAGAAACTTCGAATCCGGACCATAAAAATAAAAAAGCAAATATCTCGCGTAATATTGACTAAAAAAATTCATTCAGTTAAAAATAGTTTTAAGTCATTTGACATAATCATTTTCTTATATACCAATGCCCTAATTTATTTTTAACATTAACCCTTTTGGTTTATTTAAATATTAAGCTAGGTTTTTTTTTATAAAACTTTCAAAGGAAGCCCTAGATCATCTTATACTTTTTGATCATTTAACAATAACAAAATCAGTGGGTTAGTTAGATTAGTTGAGATATTCTCTTGCTGTCTTATTTTCCATGTATTAATAGTTTGAATCTTTCCACTTGCTGTCTTATTTTCCATGTATTAATTGAGATATTCTCTTTCATTGATTTCATTATAATATCTTACTAGTATAATACCCATGCTATGCACGAGGTACAAATAAATAATCAAAAATTTATTTTTAAAATTAAATAATAACATAAAATTTGTTCAAAAATTAGATTTTTCTTTTTCTATTCTTATGTTGTTAATGTGTGTTCAAAGTTTTTAATAAAAAATACATGTCATAGTTTAATTAGTAATTGCAAAAGTTACATTTACGACAAAATATAAATAAATTTTATCTTATGAGTTTTATAATTTCAACTTGTCCTAAGTTCTCTTGATTATATAATAAATTACATTTATCAATATACTAATTACTCATTGTCTAATTTGTAAAGCTTAAAAGTTCACCTACTTGGGCATAAACTTATAATTTGCCCTGTGTCATAACTTTTTAGATAAAGATGGATTAGGATTGACTTGTGGAGTAAAACTCACTACTACAAAAATTTCAATTTTTTGCGATGGCACGATACCATCGCTAATACTTTTAATGCCATCTCAAAAAAGTTTTAGCGACGACAAATGACTTTTAGCGACGGCAAATGAGAGGTCACAGCAGAGGGCGTTGCAAAATCCTTTTAGTGACGACATCATGCCGTTGCCTTTTTTCAGCGACGGCAATTGTTACCTTTTGCGACGGCAATTTACTGTCGCATATAATATGTAGAAAAGTCAGATCTTTTGCGACGGCATCGTTTTACTGTCGCTAAAAGTTTTATTTGAGACAGCAAAAAATGCTGTCGCGAATGGTTTTTTTTTTTTGCAATGGCATGCCCACTGTCGCCATGGTTCTAATATTTTTTGCAACGGTATGGTGCCGTCGCAAAAAAAAAAAATATATATATAATTATTAAAATATATTAAAATTACCTGTTTTTTGCGACGGTGTAGTGTCGTCGCAAAAAATAAATAAACTGCATAGAATTATTAAAAATATTAAAATTACCTATTTTTTGCGACGGTGCGACAGTGTGGTGCCGTCAAAAAAAAAAACCTACAATAAAATTAATAAAAATATTAAAATTACCTATATTAAATGAAAAATAATTGAAAAAGAAACTAATAATTGCATAATAATATAAAAATTCCTGTACAGAAAAAATAATTTCTCCATAATAAAAATATTCTTACATTCATAACTACACATCAACAAAATTACCCCACTACATAATGTCCCATAATACATATATAATATTTAAATACATAATTAGTCGCATTCTTCAAAATAAAATAAACCAAACTCTGTGGGTAACAAAAACAAAAATTAGTCACATTTTTCACAGCACATGCATTCCACAATAAGCAAACTCCTACTCCAGAAATATCTGAAAACAAAAAATAAATATAATTAATGACAATATAATTATGTGTTAATATGTTAATTACAAAAAAACATAAAAATTTAACTGCTATACAATTATAAAGATAATTAAGTAAATAATTTCGCCTAAACCGAAATTCGACCCTAACTCCCAAACCGGGAACCCGATTCGAGTCTCGTCTTCTTCCACAAATCTCTCATGCCTAAACGGTCATATGTGCCAAGTTCCATATTACTTCGACGCCGTTTGGTAATTTTGGGGCGTTAACATCTTGAATTCTAAGTTTATTAAGAAACTAGTTTGCCTAGAGTGAAATTCAGTCGTAACTCCCAAACCGGGAACCCGATTCAAGTCCTGTCTTCTCCCACAAGTCTCTCGTGCCTAGGCGGTCGTGTGTGCCAAGTTTCGTGCTACTCCGACGCCATTTGGTGATTTTGGGACGTTAACACCTTAAATTCTAAGTTTCTTAAGAAACTAGTTTGTTTCTTAAGAGTGAAATCCGGCTCTAACTCCCAAATCGGGAACCTGATTTGAGTTCCGTCTTCTCCCACAAGTCTCTCGTGCCTAGGCGGTCGTGTGTGCCAAGTTTCATGCTACTCCGACGCCATTTGGTGATTTTGGGGCATTAACACCTCAAATTCTAAGTTTCTTATGAAACTAGTTTGCCTAGAGTAAAATCCGGCTCTAACTTCTAAATCGGGAACCCGATTCGAGTCCCGTCTTCTCCCACAAGTCTCTCATGCCTAGGCGGTCGTGTGTGCCAAGTTTCGTGCTACTCCGGTGCCGTTTGGTGATTTTGGGGCATTAACACCTCAAATTCTAAGTTTCTTAAGAAACTAATTTGCTTCTTAAGAGTGAAATCCGGCTCTAACTCCTAAACTGGGAACCTAATTTGAGCCCCATCTTCTCCTACAAGTCTCTCGTGCCTAGGCGGTCATGTGTGTCAAGTTTCGTACTACTCCGATGCCGTTTGGTGATTTTGGGGCATTAACACCTTGAATTCTAAGTTTCTTATGAAACTAGTTTGCCTAGAGTAAAATCCAGCTCTAACTCCAAAATCGGGAACCCGATTCGAGTCTCGTCTTCCCCCACAAGTCTCTCGTGCCTAGGCGGTCGTGTGTGCCAAGTTTTGTGCTACTCCGATGCCGTTTGGTGATTTTGGGGCATTAACACCTCAAATTCTACTTTTATTAAGAAACTAGTTTATTTCTTAAGAGTGAATTCCGGCTCTAACTCCCAAACCGGGAACCCAATTCAAATCTCGTCTTCTCCCACAAGTCTCTTATGCGTAGGTGGTCGTGTGTGCCAAGTTTCATACTACTCCGACGTTGTTTGGTGATTTTGGGGTATTAACACCTCAAATTCTAAGTTTTTTAAGAAATTAGTTTGTTTCTTAAGAGTGAAATCCTACTCTAACTCCCAAACCGAGAACCCGATTCGAGTCACGTCTTCTCCCACAAGTCTCTCGTGCCTAGGCGGTCGTGTGTGCCAAGTTTCGTGCTATTCCGATGTCGTTTAGTGATTTTGGGGGCATTAACACCTCAAATTCTAAGTTTCATAAGAAACTAGTTTGTTTCTTAAGAGTGAAATCCGCCTCTAACTCCCAAACTGAGAACCCAATTCGAGTCCTGTCTTCCCCCACAAGTCTCTCGTGTCTAGGCGGTCGTGTGTGCCAAGTTTCGTGCTATTCCGATGCCGTTTAGTGATTTTGGGGCATTAACACCTCAAATTCTAAGTTTCTTAAGAAACTAAGTTGTTTCTTAAGAGTGAAATCTGGCTCTAACTCCTAAACTGGGAACTCGATTCGAGTCTCGTCTTCTCCCACAAGTCTCTCGTGCCTAGGTGGTCCTGTGTGCCAAGTTTCGTGTTACTTCGACGCCGTTTGGTGATTTTGGGGCATTAACACATCAAATTCTAAGTTTCTCAAGAA